CCACTGGCGAAAAAAACCTGCGGGGGAACTGTGCAAAAAACGCATTCTCGTACCGGCAGCCGGTACGCTTTCGACTAAGTTTTCCTCGCGCCAACTTCGCATCATTTTCGCTGCAAAAAAAGGCAGAATCGTTGCGATGTCTCGGTGCGTATCGCCATTTAGTTGGAGGCTTGATAACTTAGCTCTAACCCGTGGTGCTGCGCTATTATCTTTCTTCCGTTATTGCGGTCACCGTTGTTTTTCGGGATGCTTTGGCCATGTTGACATAAGCACTAATTTGCTTGAACATTCTAAGTGGTACTAGCTTTCATAGTTTTTATTCCGCTTTACAAATAATCAAAACAAGATGCATGTACAGTATTCGTCTGTAGCACTGGTATATACAGGAGGAATAAGAGGTATTGAAAGAATAAGAAGACAATGAGGAATGCGAGGAGTAAAATGGGATGTCCAGTTTACGATCAGAAACAGAATTACCAACAAACCGCAATAAAAATTTGAAGAACGAGGGCAAAACTGGACAAAAAAAAAAAACGCTAAAATGTACTGCGAGGACTGGAAGCAGTTAATTAATGCAAAGTTCAGATAATAAAAACAAGAAGAGGTGTTGCTTCCACTGGAATCATTTTGAGGTAGTAAATTTAGTACTCACCCCTTTTCTGCATCCAGAATATGCCCTTGGTCTGAGGCAGTCATAAAACGCTTAAGAATGCAGCATGGTGGAATTATTGTTGTAGCATATCGGATCGGCATCGAATTGCTCAAACACTCTCCAAAAATTGGAGCGACTTTGTATAGACAACAAACAAAACAGCATTTACAGGAAATCCACGGAGAGCAAGCGTTAGTCCACCTTTGAAAAATTCACCGGCACCACTGCGCCTATAAGTGAGCAGTACTGTTCGAAGCATACCACCCCGCTGACTGCTCGACGTTTGCAGCTGATTTTTGACATATTCCAGTGGACAGATACACAGCCAACTACTACTGCCCGCTAATCCGCCAGCTATGATCTGGAACATGACGCGTTGTACTCAGCGGTAACATGCACCTCAAACCCTAAGACAAAAAGTCACTTCGAGAGTCGAAAAGAAATGCAATTTTCATGCACTGTAGTGACGTCCTGTGCAAATCATAACGTTGTGACTTTTACAACAACTGAAAATCGCCTTCTCGTCTTCAGTCAGGAAGTGTGAAAATCATTTAGTTGACATTATAACCAAATTTTCAGAATGACCAAACTTGTGAAAATCCTCAGCATTCGAAAAATCATCGTCATCGTGGAGATGGGCGTAAGGCTATCCAAAGATGGCTTTGAGCTAAAGATTTTTGAAACTCCATTTGTTGTGCAATAGAAAAATCATTGCGCATACTCAAATATGATTTGAGGTCGTAAGAGGAATTTTATCAATCCATATTTTTGCATAAAAACAAGGAAAATGATGCGAAAGCTAGCAAAATAGAATAAAAGCATCATCCCAACGGACAGCCTTCTAACTTGAGCGACGAAATTTTTCCTTTTTTACTTGAATCCTGCGTATGTTCAAATACGAGTTTTCCAAGTTTGCGAATAACGGCTGCGAGTAATAGAAGTGACTTAGAGGAATTGACTACTGATTAGAAACTGAAACCTTGTGATTTTGAAAGCTTTTCTCAGTTACGTATGTTTTGAACTGTGAAAGTGATCAAATCAGTAGCAAACCTGGATGAGGGTATTATCCAATTGCCACCTCGACAAAACTTTGTTTAGATATTCCCATACAGATAAGTAGATTGATAATCCTACACAGTCACGGAATAGCATCACCAAACCACCCTCAATTGCAGCGCATTGAAGTAAGACGGCAAAAATTTTAATAAGGTATTATTAACGAAAAAAAAAACATTGTTGCAGAGAATCGGAGTCGTAGCCATTACCTCGTATAATCCCCTAATTCCTCCTTTTCGATAAATTTTGGAGGCGCACTGAAATGGGCTTTGGCGGACGACATAATTCCTCAATTTTTTGCTGCTTTGTTCAGATTTGTCTCGTAGTACCTACAAATGTGGCGTTTGTAGAAAAAATGATGAATACCAAAAAGTTTATTTGCTTGTCATGTTCAGGATTAAAGCTATTCACATTTTTAGATTTTTTTTTTTCACTAAAAGGCACCTAAGCGATAACATCATTCAACAACAGTCACCAGCTACAGAGCATCTCACGATTCTTCTACCAGTAGAGGTGCTCGAAGAGCAGGCTGAAAACGATGAAATTTCTTGCAAAAATAGCAGGAAATCATTGTTCAAATGAATTTGCTTTTTTCAGCAATTTTTTATTTCGCGAATTAGGGAGTGGGAGAGAAAGTGCTGACCGCCAGAACTCAACTCGTTCATTTTATGTCCATTTAAAATCCAGCTGACCATTCTTTTTCGTCGATAATGGGAAGAGTGACAGTGCGAATTACCTGCAGCCTAGTTTTAACATGATCAATTGGTACTGACGGAATAAGTTGAACAATGGAGCCAATTACTGATGCAAGCATTATCTGAAATACTCATTTTAAAAAATTTATAGAAATCCATGAACTCTGGATGTTTGAAGCAGATAGGTATGGTAAAATACCTGCCTCATGTGGTCGCAAATCACTGCGTTTATCGGCAGTGACATCTTCGGGATGCAATAGGCGAATAGTGACACCATATCCGGTGAATAAGAGTGAGTGCAAGAAGCCAGCAGAAACGAACGGTAGTAGCATGCCTTTGTACAAACCACCAATCTGCACATTTCCTCAGCAATTCATCATCACGGAGCACAGCTTTTGAAATACATTAACAGACAATGATGCTAGTCGTTTAAAGTTCGCAAAAAAAACGCTTCCATGGTTTTTTGCCTTTTGTTTTTATCCGGAACCATCACTGGAAAACTAACATATAACTGTGTGTGTATGCCTGTGTGTGTCTGTGTATGTGTTTGTTCGTGTGTATGTATGTATCCGTGTGTATATGTATGCGTGTGCCTGTCCGTATATATGTGTATGTCTGTGCATGTATGTGTGTATGTGTTCGTGTCACCAAATAATTTAACTTTGTACTTTGCCCAAGACGATGCTTGCAGGCAGAGATTATAACTGTAGAAGATAAGAATTCCTGAAACCGCGTTTTCTGAGCTTCTCCTACTAGCAGTAATCAAATGGTCGTAAGGATGCGCATCTAACTCCTGCTGTAGTTGGTCGTCTGTTCACTATTTGCGATAACAACTTGTTACAAGGGCCTACCGATGACTGCTTCGACTTCCTGGTGAAGAGCGTGATTTTTCCACATAATTTCGGCGATCGTTCTACTCAGGAAGGAGGGTTTAGCGTTCTGATACTTTTTCATCACCGTTTCGGTGTTTTTTTTGAATTTCTCCTTTACGAGTACCATTAATCGATACGACGCATGCACAAGTTGCCAGTAAAGCGAATGCCATATGCAACTTTCAATTTTTTTCGAGGTCACTGTAGTGTGCAGTGAGTGCTGCTGTCGTTCTTTGCTCATGAAATGATTATCCGGGCAACCTTCGCTCCTTTGTTGCATGTGGTTACAAATCAGCGTTTGTTTTTCTGCTTATTTCAGTGACCAATTTTTGCATCCATTCTTCATTGTTTAAACACGTTTGAATGAGAAGGCTGGGCACACTTTCTGCTTTCGCGATTTTAGGTGTCATTAACAATAAATACACATTGCACTGCGTTATTATCACCATCTCAACGTACAACTGCCTACCGATATTGTATGACACAGACCTACTTCCTAAACCGCAAGAACGACTACTAATTTCCTCAGACCTCACGAGATATCAATTTTCTTTGAGCGCACTTTGAGCAAACCGATACTTTGTAACTTCGTTTCCAGTGCGCTATTTTCAAACACCTCTCTAAATTCCTGTGTTAAGCACCTGCGACACCGTGTTCTTTTTGGGAGTTTTGTTTGCAGTGAGAGCTGCACAATCATATTTTTTGCCACTGATGTCCAAATCAACTTTCCAGGTCACCTTACCGCATACCACTTTATTTTTTTTCCTACACTGATGTGAGCTTAAGCAAAGATGCAAAGTCACGAAATTTTCAAGTGAGAGCTGCAATTTTTTACTGAGAATGCATCACGACATCCAGTGTAATGTGCTTTACAAGCAACAAATCTTATATTTTGTAGGGATCTCCAACTGTCAGGGTGGGACAAGTCAGTTTGAAATAGATTCAAATTTACGCTGGCAGACAGATTATTTATATGAGCCGTGAGCCATACCAGTTTTTCAAACCAGTACAATCTCTTGGTGCAACTTTCACCTAAGCTTATATATTTGGTCAGATCAAAATGAAATACTGCATTATAGATTACCCTTTCGTGCTTCACAGTTTTGGTTAGGCAGTCCGTGATACCCCGGTACGAATTACTCGTCTGTAATCGTGCTTTTATCGTGTCCAGAGGATGCCCAACCAAAAGACTTGCGCAGCCTGAAAAGCAACTTCAGAAAACCATGCCTTGAATTCTCAAAAATTTAACTTCTAGCTGCTTTTCCATGCTCAGTTAAAGGAAGCAATACCTCAAATATGTTTCGACTAATCCGAACTGCCTTTTTCATGCAATAATCTTTTGCCTCTTGGACAAAATAACCAGATTTCCGTACCAAATTATTGCTTTTCAGCGCTTTTTCACATCTTCTAAGTGGATTTATTATCGTTTTAAATTTTCAATCATGGTACCTGCAAGCCAACCAGCAACGAAATCTGAATAAGCCGACATTGCCAACGATAGCACTTTCCGAATAATTACTACTCATGCATTTGTATGAAATTATTAGAATCGATTTCTCCAAATGTGATAGATTTTGCAAAATAATCGTTGATATCGTCTAGTCCTGAATGATTAAGCAAGCTGCTAGCTGTTTATTCTATTTCTACGACTTCAAAAAGCTTTGAACACAGCGACAAATGAGGGAAAGATGGGTGTCGTGCAAGTTCATGCGGTAGTGCATTTTTTGCGGGTGACTTTTATGAGCACAACAACTAAACAATAGTCTCCTGATGCAAACTGTTTGAGCATTCTCAGTGTTGGTGATTTTTGGCCCATTCTAAAAGTACAGATGAAATACCATTCGGCAAACAAAAATATCTGAAAACACATCATGCTCGCTAGAAGGTTAACGGCAAGGATATTAGCTTTAGCAATTGAGGTATATTAGCTTTAGCATTCTAAGTCTAAAAACAACCGGTCAGAAACGTCTCCGAACACAAACAAACAAATATGGGTTCGCGAAAACGTCAAAATGACGGCGGGGGGGGGG